TTGACGTAGGGAGCTTGCAATATCCCCTATGTCCCCTATCTAAGGTTGACACATACGGACCCTACCAATTCGGGTACCCAAAAGGAACGATAATTCGGACTTCCAAACGGAACGAGGGCCGCGCCAAACAACGTCACAATCAGCTCTTTCATCTTTTCCGGGCCCGCGCCTGTCTTCGTCACAGGTCAGAACATGTGGTAACAGTAATCCCCTCCCGCTAATATTGAAGTCCCCCAGCCCCCATCCCAACCCCCTTATATCAAATGCTTCCACTATAATTACATTATTCTCTGTTGGGGATGTTTACAATTAGGGTGTGGGGGCTGATATTAGGGGAGGGGAGTACTGGAAGCGAACCTTAGGGTTGTTAGTAGCATGTGGGCTGTCAGGTCCCGGAGTTCCTTGCTGGTCACTGGAAAAAATCAGAATGAAAAAAAAAATGAAAACTACTATGTAGAGTCTAGGGTTTAGGGTTGCTGGGCAACTAGTAGGGGCTGGAGGAATTGATCCGCATTGTAGCCGTTCTACAATCCTCAACAATGCAATCCCCTCCACGTAGTATCAAACACCCACCAACCCCCCTTGCATTAAATACGCCCAATATACTTTCATATACCACAACGCGGAATATTTAATATTACCTGGGTGGGGAGGTTTAATATCGGGGGGAAGTGATTAATTAGTCATTTCCATGTTCTTTTCCCTTTCTAAATTTCCCGCTGACAACCAGCAGGGAAAGTATCCAAGAAGTGGAAGCCTCTGCTTTGGCCTGGATTGCCCCATCAAAAACCCTAACCGCAAAGAGCCACCTCAACTTGGGTACTTGCCCCCAAATGATATAAGGATCTCCAACATGATTTAAGATGCATTCCTTGACTATACGAGCACTCGGCTCCCTGGCGAACCCGGCTAAATCCTAAACTCTAGACCCTCTTCGCGAGCAGAAGAGTGCTTCTTCCAGCAGCACGGTTAGTAGCTCCGCCATGATGGAATTATGGGGTTATATAGGGATAATGGAAATGAAGCTGCAGAATAATGTAGGGGTATTACATAAGGGTTTATTTGCTTACCCACTGCAGCTTCAGAAGGCTCTTGAGCAAACAAACTATGCTTGCTTCAAGCTGGCCAACCTTTGAAGCTCTGAGATTCACCTGCGCCCCTTTGAGGAACAACCATGATGAAATGGTGCTTGACAAGTTTTGGCGGAAGAAGGGCGCCACTTCGAGGGCTCAATCGTGTTGTTGGACTCTATCAGGCCAAACTTGGCGTAACAAAACGGGGTGTCATCATTTTACAGGGTTTAGAGTTTAGGGTTAAACATTTAGCGTTTTCAGGGTTTTGAGTTTAATGAGGGTGCAGGGTTTAAGGTTCAGCGTTTAGGGTTCAGGGTTTAGCGTCTATAGAGTTTCGAGCAGGTGGTTCAGTGTACTAGAAATCTTGCTTCATTTTCCTAATGATGTTCCCTAGCTGCGTGGCAAGTGCATGCTTGGATTTCAGATGCCGAACCCTAATCCGTAAACCGTAAGCCTAAACCCTCAACCCTCCATGTCAGTAAGCCTAAACCGTAAACCCCATATTTGGGGAAGGCGATTACGCTGAAGAAGGCAAGAACAAGGATACCATCTCCTCGGCCCAGCACCCTGGCTTTAAGGGAATTCAGGGATTAGTATAGGGATCCATTTTCCAGAAAGACCAATACCCTTTAAATAAGGAATATAGCCCAAATGTTACTAGAGCCCCTGATATGATTTAAGCTATATTCTTTAATTAAGGGGTATTGGGCTCCCTGGGCATAGTATAAGCCCCATGTATTCCCCAGTGCCCATTTCATTTTCCATTTTCTTTTCATTTGATTCTCCATTATCGGGGGATAATAACCTAAACCCTAAACCCTAAACCCGCATCTACCTGGTCGTGTTACTACTTGGCTCTTGCCGTTGGCTGGCTGTCTCCCAAGGAGTTGGTCAGCGCTGCGGGGCCCGCCATATCCGTGATGGAGTCTTGGATCTTGAAGTCACCGAGCCAACCCACGACCCTTGCGACCTGGCTAAAATCTCCTTTGTGAACTTGACCGGGCTGGGACAAACAAAGAAGCAGAAGGACCATGAGCCTGAGAGCAGGACGGTTGACAATGTGGACAGGGTGAAGAATGCCGATCTGATGGACAACCTGAACACGGACCCAGAGGATTCAGCCCTGATGCAAAGAGGGCAGCAAAAGCGCAGAAGGTCCCCGTCGCCGAGAAGAAGACGACATAAGCAACCGGGCAGAGATGGACGAGAAGGGCGAGGGCATAAAGAAGACAGCTGCGGTGAAGATGAATGGGAATGGGACGAAGAGGCCAGAAGGTACTTCCGGAAGCAGTGGAGATCGAGGGACAGGGAAAGGACGGCCACGAGCAGCTGGGCGAGAATTCCGCCATCGGCGAACAGACGATCCGAACCAGCCTCAGGCTCTAGGCAGGAGGCCAGATCCCCTCCGAGAACTTCGAAGGCACCACCGGCAACACCGCGAGGAGCTGCAGGAGGGCAAGCTCAGCGAACGAAATATGTCTCCTTGGTGCCTACCTTAGAGCAATTGGGGCCAGGGGTAAGGATGTGGTCAGATGCAGTCGGAGTGACAGGCGAGGCGGAGGACTTCACGGGTCAGGACAGGCACATGCTCAGTGACACTACCGTCTTCAACCTAGCCAAGGACCTGGCGAGTATGACACACGCACAGCGGGTCAACGCCTACTGCGACCTCATAAGATTCTTGGGGGTTCTCTTCGCGGACTTGATGCGGGCCATGAGCAGGGCAGAAGAACTGGCAGCTGAAGAGGTTCTGCTACAGGTCTCTACGGAAGGCCCGCTCCCCAGTATGGCGCCGCACCTGGCCACACAAGCGCCGGCCCCCCTGGAGGATGAGGGTGAAATGGCAATGGAACCTGACAAGGAAGTAAACCAGGAGGACTGGGTCGACGTCGAGCTGGAAGTCAACGGCACAGAAATGGTGGATGGGTGCTGGGAACCAGACATGGCCCCAGACTTGGCCCCGGCTGCGGAGCCCAATGAGCCCACAGACGATGCATGCTCCTACATTCAGGTGGCTGCAAAAGCCGGACCGACCACAGTCTTCGCGAGCTACCTGGCGAGACTCCAGGCGCACTTCGAAAGCATGACGAAGCCTCAGCGAGAAAGCATCATCGACCACCTCCACAAGAAGCTGAACGCATGGCGAGACAGCTGGGTGATGTCACTGACTTCGGTCTCGCGCGACCGTGCTGACCGCTTGTGGGCATTGTTGGTGACCTACCAGGGGGAGGAAACATGCATTCAGGCTAACGATGCAGAATGGGCAGAGGCTAGATGGGCAGAGGTGGTCGACATGCTGCAAATTGATGCGGTGCGAGCAGCGGACGTAGGAGACTTCCGACTGCCGCACCCATCAGGAATGGTGGTAGTGGAAGACACTCAGCTCGAAGGGCAGGGAGAAAGAGCCACCTCGTCGGAAGATGTGATGGTTCGTCAAGCACCAGGAGCCGACTGGGAAAAGGCCACGGCAACCGAGAAAGGCAGAGCTGGAAAGACACGACGCAGACATCAGGGAAGAAGAAGCAAGACAAGCCGCCCATGATGAACATGTCTGGACCACACATCAGGCGACAAGGGCAAGGGAATGGGATGAATGGGCGCTAAGAACGGAGATGGATGACTCCACCAAGCTGAGGCCGCTCAAGAAGTTCAGAGTGAGGGTCGCAGTCATGGACGCGGAACACAATGAGCTGGCCACGGCGAACCTCACTGGCGAGGTGGAGCCCGCGGATACGCCCCAAGTTTCCATCATGGTGCAGGAAGAGATTGTCCAGGTGCCCAACCACGACGACCAGAGCGGACAAGAGGGAGATGTGCCAGAGAGAAAGGGTGCCGCAGGCAACGGCACCGGCAGCCATGACGAAAGGGACGATGAAGCTGACCAGACGGAGACGGTTGCGGTCACCTCGAGGGATGAAGAAGAGGCAGTGGACGAAGGGATCGATGCAGACATCGCGGACCTGGGAGACATCATGGAATCGGTGATGGGAAGACAATGGTTCCAGCTCTTCGTCGACAGGCAAGTTGACTCGGACATGGTTCGGAAAAGGTGGGGGGCTGCCGCACTGGAGGTCTTCCAAGTTAACAGGGATATGATGGAGCTGATGGAAGCCGTCGAACAGGACAAGGGCAAGAGTGCGGCGGAAAGGATGAGGGCCGGCTCGCAACACGAGGGTGAACTGGTGGTCAGGAACATGGACAGAGATGACGGGTCCTCAGAGTCGTCGGGAGCAAAGGTCTTCCCCAGAAGAGAAGTGGTGGCAGGCCGGAGGGGACCAGACACAGCAACAGAAGACGTGGCAAGGGAGAAGGATAACACCGAGGATGGAAACGATGGCGATGTCGTGGCCGACAACGAGGGGGACAACATGGAGAATCGAGATGAAAGCTCAGGTCACGCGGCCGCAGCTGAAGGTGAAGCTCGAGAAGAACAGGGTCCAGAGAACAGCACGAACCAACAGGAGCTCCTGAATACGCAGTTGGAAGAAATGGATGTGGAGGAAGCGGGGACGATTGCTGCAGCTGGTGCCTCGAACGCAACCGCGGGATCAGGGACATCGACTGCAACGGGCTCTACTGAGGGGTTAGGGGACGGTAGCTTCGGTGACGGGAAAGTGCAGTCTGACCTAGAGGGTTGGTTGCACCGAGGTGACTGATTTTCTGTAAGGCCATTGGTTGAATAGTTCCCAATGATGCTTGGTTTTGGCAAGGGCTGTTGCGGGCTGAAATAAGCTCAGTCTGTGGGGCTCTGCTTGTGCGGGCTGGAGGGTGCAAGCCCTCCCCAGCTGTGCAACCTTTGTGTTTTGCCTGGGCCATGCCTTAAGGTGTCTCCTCGAAGACTCGTCAGCGGGGAGAAAAGGTCCGAAGAAAAAAAAACCTAACAACCTTAACTATTGGGTATTGAGCTCCCTGAGTAGCTGAGCTAAGGCCTCATCAAGGGCGGCCTCGAGCTCGAGGGCGGTAAACTAGGTCTATGCTCCGACCTGCTGCTGGGTTGCTGTTAAGGAACCTTAAATTAAGTTACCACAATGGGTTTAGGGTTTAGGGTTTAGGGTTTTATGGGTATATATATATAGTAAATAATAGGGTTTCCCCAATATAGTAACTTGATTTAAGTTCCTTAACAGCAACCCAGGCTGCGGAAACTCCTAGGCCACGAGGCCAAGGGGTACATTGGGAGTTCCCAAATTGAGGGTTTCATTTTGGTACCCCTAAATATTAGGTGCCAGAATATAATCTAGAACCCAATTTGGCCCATGATTTTGACAACAACCCACATCTAAGATTAACTTGCTGGCACTCTGGGAAAACGGTTCATCTGGTGTACGGGAAGCCTGTTCATAAACGATTTCGGGCGTGTTTGAGTCACCACGCATAGGGATGCAGCGGTTTAGGTCTTAAAGGTTTTCAGGTTTGAGGGCCAGGTTGAAACTTAATTAAGGCCTCGCGGTCACCGAAGCAATGCATAGGCCTGCTCGCCAAGCAATGGTCGCCTGTTTGCGATGTTTTCTAAGTATTTTGTACAGGGCTTCCGCGGAAGCCCCATTTTGGGGTGTAGGTTTGGGGTTCAAGGTGTTATCATACAGGTTGACTTCGCGGGGTGTGTGGCGTCCAGAAGAATTGCTGGGGTCTTTGCTTCGAGATTTTCAACTCCGGAAAACATACCGGGAATGTGGAGGCAATATGCAGAAATTGGTGATGCCAGGCACTGTGGGATTTTTGTGAATAATTCAGAACATCCCGCAGAAGGTATGCGAAGGGGTGTCCATGTTTGGAATAAGGGAGTTTCAAGATTTTAAGTTTGGGGAGTTCTGGTCTTTCTGTTGGGGACGATGCAGCATGACTGCAACACCCGTGTCCAGAGTTGCGTCACGGCGATGTCACCATGCATGTTTTGCTTTTGTCCTGTTACTTGCACCAGCAAGAAATGGTAACTTCCCACAAAAGAGGCAGCCTAATATAGACCCCCACAGACTATAATCCGTATTTTTGGGACCCTTGGAAGGGTACCCCTAATTTTGGGAAACCTCCAAATAGGTTTTTGAAATCGGCGGGCATGTGCATGTGCATGTGATACTTTAACGCAACTGTCTTGCCCCAAAGCCAGTCCCGTGCAGCCAGGAATCTTTGTTCATTCATAGGAGCGCTAAGGCAGATGCAAGCTGGCTAGGCTGTCGCACATTTCTTGTGGCTAGCTTGAGATTTCATTTTTCAGAGCATGTGCTGAGGCGGCAGCAAGAAGGGCTCCAATTTTGAAAGTTGTGTTCGAACCATTAAAGCGATTACCTTTGGCTTGGTATAGATTGTACTTTGAGGTCATTTTGGTGGCGCAGCGTGATCTCTAGCGGGCCACTGGATGTTTTCGGACCATACTACAGTATTCAGGGGAGCAGGTGAGCAGGCCGTTTAGGGCTGATGCTGGCCTAGCATTTGTTTCTTGTGAAGGAAGTGGGGGGCTTATGTCAAAGTCAACTCTAGACCACACCCAAAGCCTTATATAATCCCCTTGTTGTAGTTTCCATTTGGTTTTCCATTATCCCAATATAACCCCAATATATACCCAATAATCCCTATATAACCCCAATATACTGCGATCTCCACCCCACACGCACCTGTGTTTCTTGCGACTACGGCCAGCCTAAGCCTGTTGCCTCGTGAGAGGTCGGGGTGCTGATGGGAGCCAACGCCTGATCCTCAGAGCCTCTATCTGGATCATGCGTGCATGAAGTGTCCCCCTTAAGTAGATAGGGGATGTATTGGGGTTATATTGGGATACTGGAAAGGAAAATGGAAACTACCATTTAGAGTCAAGGGTTTAGGGCTTATGGTCCCAAACAGGCTACACTTTTGGAGGAGTCATTCCTGATGACTTCTTTCATCAATGATCGTTGTTGTGACTGGGCCAGCTCAGCCCATCCGCACATTGCAGTAGCGGTAGAGCCGCTCATGCTGAACCCTTTTTGATATACACCCCCCCAAAAATAGGCGGTGCTGAATCAAAATTGTTTGAGGGTCTGAGCTGAACCCTAATGGTATAAGTATTTAGTAGTATTAGTATGAGTTGTATGAGTATTATTCGTATTCGTATTAATATTTTTATACCTTCAAACCTATGAGATTCGAATTGTTGCGCCCCAGAACTTGACATTATAGGGGGTCCCACAAACATTAGGGGTACCCTGAATAATTCCCCGCAACTTGACGCAAAAACGGCTCCCCGAACCAAACGGAGTCCAAAACTACCATAGAGTCTCAAATTGAATCGCGAGGGGGCTTGCTAAGCTCAGAGTGGCACTACATCTGACAGCAGACAGGTGTCCCTTAGCCTTAGCGATTAGGTTGGCTGTAGTCAAAATCCAAAAGCTGAATCTAATCCAGATTCAGAGCGACATTCTCAAATTGACCTTTACGTCAGCCTTTTGAGGAAAGCTCAGTACCCACACCCACCCCCATGTATTTCTCAAGGGTGAGAAACCCCAACACTTCACACCAAAGAGTATACATCCAGCATTTGAGCACTCTAATCACTGAACTGGGGGCCAAAACTTGAAACCTGACATATTCAAAAACCAAAACTCCCACCCCTGAATCCCAGAAATAAACTTTGAACCCTAGACCCTAAGACCCAAACTCTGAGACCTTGAACCCTAAGCCTTAGCCCCTGTGGCCCTAAACCCTGATCCCAGCCGACTGAGGTCGCCAACGAGGTTGCGGCGGGAGAATTTTGCGAGGCCACCTTGGGCATCAAGGCCGGCTTAGCTTTGGTTGGTAGTAGTGTTATTCGTATCAATATAAGTCTTCTTGTTTAGTTGGTATTCTTATTAGTGTTATTGGTTGCCTTGGAGAGACTGGTTTAGGGTTTGGGGTTTGGCGTGAAGTGTTGGGGGTCTGGGGTTTGGGGTGTAGAGACTTGGGTTGTGGATTTTAGGAGTGGTGTTGTGCTCAACGTTGGTTCTGGAGGGTTCTTTAATGTTGAGACCCTGCATGGATTGCTCAACCCCATGAACACACGGGCTGTCTAGGGACTATTGACGGCCGTTTCTAGGCACAGATGAAAATCTGTGCCCAGTTGTTGGGGCTACTTAGGGGATCCCAGACGCTCTCTTACCTCTCAAGTATGCACAATGTCGGAAAGACGTAGTGGCTTTTTGCCGGAATTATCTAGTGGTCAAATTAGCTTGACTTGGCCTTCTGGTTGACAGTGTTCTGACATCATGAGTATCGTTCTCATGAGGATAAGCTCCATGACCCTTGGGGTCTTGAGCTCAAAGCGCGGGTGATAGCCCATCATGCCAAGAGAGCCAGGACAAGAAGCACCAGAATACCCTGGTGAAGCTGTGCCTCCTCTTGTACAAGCCTGGGCTATAGGGCTTAGGTGCAGGGGGTTGGGGTTGGCGTTAAAGGGTTGACGGTCTAATTGAGGTTCAGGGTTCATGGAGACGGCGTCGGATGTATTCGACAAATATTGGGGGGTGGGTTGGATAGCGCGCACATACAGGTTTCTGCTGGAGCTTCTGCTGATGGGTAGCCTCTTAAACAGAGCATCCACATGGACCGCGTCGTTGTTGCAAACTCAAACCTACAGAGTATGTCAGAGGGCATCGTTTAGCTCTTCTCTTGTTTGCAGTGCCTCCAAAGGTAGCATCAGTGGAACACTCAGCTTACTTGCGAGCTTGCATGCATGCAATGCGAGAAGCAGACGCAGGTTTGACTGCAAAACTTTCCGAGTGACTGCAGTCGACGATATCCCAGGCGACATGCGTAGGGTCTCAGGCGGTTTGTGGTCCGAATAGCGCTTGAGTTGAATTGCGTATGCGACCCGCTGCCACTACCTGGTCAATGTCAATCGGACTGAGAATGGGATTTCATCCCCCTTCCAATTGGCAGATCAAGTTGCTAGCGATTTGAGCCTCAAGTCAAACAGTCCTTGGCTGGGTGGGTGACGGCTTTTCAGGCAAAGGGCTATGAAGGCCCTTGGTGGAGATTTTGTGCTTCTACATCCCCTCAAAGGTGCCTTATACTCTGCGAGCGGGCCTCATTCAGCGGCCCCACAACCTCAAGCTCAAAACCCTTCATAGCGCTCTGGGCAGGTGTTGAGCTGTGTGGTGCTCTGAAGAACGTCGTAGCGCTAGGAGCAGGTGCGCGGATCATGATCTCAAGTAATTTCCAGAGCACAGGAAGAGAAGAGTGACAGTAATGCTAGTAGAGGTTTCCATCGGTCTGGGCCTTGGGCCCCCAAGTCTTATGAAGCAGACTTCGGCGGCCAGCTGTGAATCATGCTGCTTTTGGGGACACTGACTTTGATGATGATGATGATGATGACGAGTATTATTATCATTATTGTTATTAATAGTAGTAGGATGGGGTGATAGGATGTGCAAATAAGGATGCATCTGGGGAATAGTAGCAAGCTCTGTCGGACTTCATGTTTGCCGTGTTGCATTTGCTTCCACGTCTTGGTTGCCAGGTATTGGATTGAGACCAGAATTCTGCATTGGCTGGTGGATGGTGATCATGACATACTATTACTAGCACTATTACCATTAATACTGTTGTTATTCGGGATCATTGTTGTTATTATTATTGCCTCTAAGTACCCTTGAATATCCTCAAATTTGACACGCCCAAGCTTGCTTGCCTCGTCACTTGCAGGATACACGTTAAGTATGGAATTCTGAGGCAAGGTTTAGGTTTATGGGTCAGGGTTAGGGTTTAGGGTTGGGGTTCAGGGTTGGGGTTTAGGGTTTAGGGTTCAGGGTCAGGGTTTCGGGTTTAGGGTTTAGGGGTGGGGTGTAGGTTTAGGGTGTAGGGAGCACTGACTAGGATTCAAAACCTTGCCTTCTAGGAGCCTTGCACATTCACAAGCTGGTCTTAATACCCTGGCTCTGTGGAGAAGTATTCTTCACGAGTACAGGATGGCTTCTAAATTGGGAGTAGGACAAGATTTGCGTGAAGAAAACTATTTGTACAAAAGCTCTAACAATCTTTGGCCTTACTGCGTCCAAACGATCAGAACCCAGTCTAAAATCCAGCGCTCTGAATCACAACTGCTTGTCTTCTTCTTTCACGTGAAAAGCACTCTAACATATGAACCCCAATCCAAAATGCCTACGGACAAAACAGCAAAGCTCCATACTTGGATTGGAACCCACAACCCTGCATCGAAAGCCTCAGGGCCTCAGTTCTAAGTCCATATCCCAAAGCTGTGCTTCCTTGGAGGCTTCTGCGATGGCCTGGAGTACGGTGGCAACACCAAGGCAGCCCTGATCCGGATCGGCCTGCAGGATACACAGACCTCTTGGTTTTGGTTCTTGGGGATTATAGCTTAAAGGAATTTTTGGGCATAGGGCTGTAGGAATTTCGGATTTGAGGTTTCATGGTTTTGCAACTAAGGATTTGTGTTTATTGATTTTCGGAAGTCCGAATTCGGTGGTTGGGGGCGTTGGGATTGCCAATCAGGGGTGCCCTTGTGGCTTGGAAGGATCCTGAAGTCATTATGCAATGCTCTTCTGGCAATGTAGGGTCCTTGTTTACCATGCAGTCCCACTCCTGACTCTAGGCCAACCCTGGGGTATCCCTGATCAATACTTCTTCCTTACAAGGACCCCCCACCCTGTAATAG